ATATAATAAAAATGTTATAATTATTAATTATTATAATTCTTATTTTTTTAAATATCAAGTAAAAAGTATTTTTATATATAATTTTTTATTTTTATAGAATATTTTTTCTCAAAATTGAGCTCGAGCCGAGACAAGCCGAGCTCGAGCTTATGAATTTTTGACTCGAGTCGAGCTCGAGTTCAAGGTTTTGGCTTGAACTGAGCTCGAGCCTTGTAGAACAGTCTCGAGCCGAGCTCGAGTCTTGGACCATTTGGCTAGGCTTGGCTCGAATCCACCCCTACCTCCAACCAAAGCTGAACTGGTCCCCCCCCAAACCGGTTGGACCGAATGGTATTACCCCTAAGGCATCTTACCTGGGCAGAGATGCAGTTACGTCGCGAGCGTGAACTTTTCTATAACTGTGATGAAAAATTTGGACCGGGAACCGTTGCAAGAAACCTCAACTGTTTTTACTGGAGCCAAATGACAATGAGGAAGGGGGTCTCACTGTTGAAGATGGGGCCTTGGCAGTGGACGAGGAATTACTAGAGCAAGAACCAAAGATTTTTGTCCATGCTCTGACTGGTTCTTCCTCACCTCTCACCAGGAGGCTTAGGGCGGTGATTGGGGGTAACTAGGTGGCTATATTAGTGGATAGTGGAAGTTCTCTAAATTTTGTTTCAGAGCAGTTGGTTGATCAGCTCCACTTGGTAGTAGAGCCCATACCCCCTTTCTCAGTCCATGTTGCCAATGGACACAAACTCAGTTGTGATGGAATATGCATAGCGGTGAAAATCAGGGTACAAGGGCATCGGTTTCAAGCTGATTTGTACCTGTTGGAGTTGAGGGGGCCTGATATGATTTTGGGTGTCCAATGGCTTCAACAATTGGGCCCAGTGACTTGCGATTGGGCCCATCTCTCCATGTCATTCACAATAGACAAGCAAAGTTGCACTCTCCAAGGCCTCAACCCGGGGCCCTCACTACAAGAGGAACTGAGTCTGACACTCGAATAGAGCCACCATTTCTCCCCACCTGTCATTCTCTACCTAGGAATGGACATGGTTGGACCAACCCTCCACCATCAGCTAGGCTCAATGGGCCTAGGCCCCAGGAGGGAACCCCACCGAATTTCAAAGACCACTGCAAATTAATTGAGATGTTTTCTAGGAACCCATGGGCTTTCCACCAAAATAGGACCAAGACCATAAGACCCTCTCATGCTAGGGGCTGGGCCGACCAATGTAAAACCATATTGCTATCCCCATTTTTAGAAGTCTAAAATTGAGAAAATTGCGACTGATTTGAAGCAAAAAGGGATGATACAATCCAACTCCAGCCCTTTTTCCTCTTCCGTCCTGCTAGTCAAAAAGAAAGATGGCACGTGGCAGTTCTGCATGGACTATCAGGCCTTGAACCGTATCACCGTAAAGGACAAATTTCCCACATCGGTGATAGATGAGCTGTTGGATGAATTAGGGGCTGCAACAATATTCTCGAAACTAGATTTGAGAGCTGAGTACCACCAGATCTGGGTCCATCCGGAAGATGTGCCAAAAATTGTATTCCGAACTCACGACAGGCACTATGAGTTCCTAGTTATGCCCTTTGGGTTAACTAATGCACCGTCCACCTTCCAAGCCTTAATGAATGATGTATTCCGGCCCTACCTCTGGCAATTTATCCTCGTATTCTTTGATGACATTTTGGTGTACAGTAACAGATGGGAATCCCATCTATAGCTTCTGAATATTACCTTGGGGGTCTTAAGGCAGCATCAGCTTTATGCCAAGGAAGGCAAATGCCTATTCTGTCAGACTAAGGTGCACTACCTGGGCGATATTGTCTCTCAAGGCCAGGTTAGGGCTGATCTTGACAAAATTACAGCCGTGGTGAACTGGCCCACACCTAATTCTATCCGGTCCCTCAAGGGGTTCTTGGGCTTGACTGGTTACTATCAGCGGTTTATAAAGAACTATGGCCTGTTGGCAAGCCCACTAACCCAGTTACTTAAAAAGAATGCATTTCATTGGAACACACGGGTCCAGACAGCATTCGAGGCCCTCAAACAAGCTCTGTCTACACCCCCCATCCTCTCCCTACTGGACTTTTTGACAAGAGTTTGTAGTGGAGTATGATCCATCTAAATCAGGTGTGAGTGCAATCCTCATGCAACAGGGTAGACCCATCGCCTACTTCGGTAAAATGTTATCTACCCAGGCCCAGTCGAAATCTACATATGACAAAGAGTTGATGGCAGTTGTCCTCTCTATGTTGAAGTGGTGATCCTATTTGTTGGGCCACACTTTTGTCATTCGCACGGACCACCAGAGCCTCAAACACCTGTTAGAGCAGCCAGTACACAGCCTGGACTAACAGAAGTGGTTGTATAAGTTGTTGGGGTTTGACTACTGAGTAGAGTACAAGCCCGACCCAATGAACAAGGCGGCGAACGCTTTGTCCTGCAGCCATGAAGTGGCCATGTTGAGTGAATCCCGACCCAGCTTTCCTTTACTGTCCAAGCTAAAGGAGGAAGCCCACTAGAATGAATTCAGAAACTTGCCCAGAAGCTCAAAGAGGACCCTGTCGTAGTTCCCAGGTTCCACTTAGTGGGCCCAGATCTTTTCTTCAAGGGACACCTGGTGATTACAGCCTGTTAGAGCTAGCCGAACAAGGGTAGATTAGTCATTTTATTTCTGTTAAGTTATGTGCTTATGTGGCAGTTTTAATAGAGACTTCCTGTCCCATACTTAAGTGGGGGCAGTTTAGTCTTTGTACTACTAATTAGAGGCTAATCCATATTAGGGTCGACTGATAGGCTTTAGGCTATCATGTTCGACTGTTCTCTTCTTTTTCTTCTTCTTCTTCTGCTCTTCTCCTGGTTCGAACTACTGTAGCTACAGGACAAACACAGCCCAATTGAAATTTCTTCCGAAGTTACTACAACTATTCCATTGTTCGCCCTTGGGGGGCCACTTTGGAATACTTTGGACCTATAGAAGGGTAAGCCAGCATTTGTTTTGGACAGGGATGAAGAAGGCCATTCAGCAATTTGTAGCGCAACTCCTTGCCAACACAACAAGTTTGATCATCAGTTTCCGGCCAGAGTGTTACAACCCCTCCCAATTCCGGTGCAGGTATGGGAAGACATAACCATGGATTTTATCACGGGTCTTCCAATATCCATGGGTAAGTTGGTGTTCATGGTAATAGTGGACAGATTGACCAAATACAGTCATTTTGTTGGGCTGGCACACCCATATACAGCAGCCCAAGTAGCGTGCACCTTTGTGCAGGGAGTGACCCACCTCCATGGTACTCGGTCCATCTTGACGGACAGGGACCCGGCTTTCATGAGCCGCTTCTGGACTGAATATTTTAAGGCCCAAGGGACCCAGTTGAACCGCACTACTAGCTACCACCCCCACGCGGATGGTCAATCTGAAGTTGTTAACCGGTGCTTGGAGACATACTTGAGGTGTGTTACAGGGGAGAGGAGACCCAAACAATGGGTGCATTGGTTACCATGGGCCAAGTTGTGGTACAATACCACCTACCACTCGTCACTGGGGATGAGCCCATTTAAGGCATTGTATGGGAGGGAACTATCCCTGACACTACGCTACGAAGTTGGCTCCACTGCCGGGGTGGAGGTTGAGGAAATGTTACAGCAAAGAGATGAAATTTTGAGGTCCTTCAAAGAGCACTTGACCCGGGCCTAGCAACAGATGAAGGCCCAGTATGACAGGAAGCACAGGCCAGTGACATATATCAGGAAGGGGAATTTGTGTATCTGAAACTCCAACCCTACTGCCAGGTGTCGGTTGCCCACAGGAAGTGGCCTAAGTTTGCACCTCAGGTTTTTTGGGCCCTTTCACATAGTGGGCTGAGTAGGGGAGGTGGCTTACCGACTATACCTTCCCTTATCCTCCCGCATTCACCCTGTTTTCCACGTCTCCCTACTAAAGAAAAGTGTGGGTCCCCAAGTGGCTGCTAGTCCCATCCTGCCCGAGTTCAATGATGAGGGGTGTCTGCAACCTGATTCGGTGGAGGTTCAAGATCTGAGGTGGGTCAAAACAGGAAGAACAGTTAACAGGGAAGCTTTGGTGGTTTGGATGCATCGTAGGAAGATTGTGACACCCTTAAGAGGATGTTTCCAGGATTCAACTTTGAGGACAAGGTTGTTTTGAAGAGGGGACGAGTTGTTGAGCCCCTGGTCCATGTGACATCTCAGGACCAGACTACTAGCCAGCCCAAGGCTCAGCCCACTCTGCTGTTTGAAGCCCAAGAGCAGGACAGCCCAGTGAAGGAAGCCGAACACCCTCCCATTCACTTTCTGTATGCAAGGTCAGCCATGAACAGTATTATTGCACATGTCTTATGATATCCTTGTAAACTCTATAAATATCTGAGAATAAAGGAGTAGGGTAGACCTGGATTATCTCATTTCTCCTCTTTCCTTCTATTCTTTTAGGAGTTTAGGTCTCCCTTGAAGAGACCTCTGTGGTGGGCAGTATCCCATCAGAACCATTCGAATAGAAAATAAATTTATTGTATTATATTATACTGTTGACTTTTTTATAATAAAATATTAGAGAACATGTATTAAAATTAAGACAAAATTAGAGAAAGAAGTGAGGCGTGCCAAAACAGAGAAAGAACGAGTGATGGATCTTCTGAAGATGATAAAGGGCTAGGCACTTAACCTACAATTCCCAGTGAGGGCCAGAAACACACCATTTGTTTTGACAGTTAACCCATTCAACCTAGACAGATGAACCAGTGAACCATTACACAGTGAGAAAACCATGTCCAGGCTGATCTTGGGGTCAGGTTTTAAAACATTGGTTGAGGATGTTGAATATCAGTTCCATAATATATTCTTTCATATTTGTGGTTCATTGTGGGTATAATTAGGAATCTTTAATACTTGGCTGGCTTTGTGCAGGCAGCTAAAGATGATTGGACCTTAGGTCTATTCAAGGTTCAAAGTATCGACACGTATCGGCCCATATCGGCCGATACGTATTGTTTCGGGACCTCCTCGATACGCCCCTACAGTGGGTGTATTGGGGTTCTGACCGGTTCAGGGGGTGGAGGAGCCTTAAACTGGTCCCCCTGAACCGGTTTTGAAAAAAAATAAAAAAAAAAGTAAAAAAAACACTATCGATATCACCCGATACGCCCCTATTGGCGTATCGATATTTTGAACCTTGGGTCTATTGTGATTTTGGGTGTAGAGGGGTGATATGGGTCTCTTGTGGGCTTTGATGCCTTTTCTACTTGTATATCAAGTCAACTGATTACTTGATAATATTTAATATTTTTGTTATCTGTTTGCATAAATTTATTGTTGGGGGATATTGCTAGACAAATGCAGCTTTATATTGTTGATATACCTGATTTGGATACATGCCATCCAAATGTAAATGAAATTTATCTTCTGGTTGGCTGGGTTGGTCCTGTTTGAAGTATTTATTTTTATTGTTTTGGCAGGGAATTCGGCTGTTCAAGCTATTTCTTTACTCATAAGGAAGGGTGTACCTGAATCAAATATCATATTTCTGAATCTTATATCTGTAAGTTAAATGTACCTCTGGAGGAGTATGCTATTTTATTTTAGTTATTTTGTTTCTCTTGAGTGGGGGTGGAAAAAGGATAAGATTTTACAATTTTGCTTGCATCCTTGCCAAAATCTCTTTAGTGCATGAACTTGTATTCGTATTAGATGATATGCTTAGCTTTGCCTGCAATTGCATTAATGACAAAACAGTTGATATCAGTAGATTAGTTAGAATAAGTTTCTAATGCATCAATTCACAAGTTCATTGATACTTGGCTTCTATTATGTTTCTTAGTCCCTTCGTTATGTTTACTGTTATATTGTTTTACTATATTTTTTTAACCTCCACAGGCACCTCAAGGGATCCATGTAGTCTGCAAGAGCTTCCCAAGAATTAAGATTGTGACATCTGAGATTGAAATTGGTTTAAATGATGATTTCCGTGTCATCCCTGGTATGGGGGAGTTTGGAGATCGATATTTTGGCACAGATGATGATGAAGAGCAGCAAGTGGTGGCCCCATTGTAGATGGAAACATCTTCAGTTTTGTAGTAATTTTGACATCGAGTGAACAAATCTATCATCAATGTAATCTTTCCCGAGGCTTGGGTACCTAAAAGGATTGAGGATGCTTGGTTGTGAATTCCATGTTGTTAAAACATGATCTAAATGGCCATTTGATTTGCTTATGGAGAGTTCTTGCTTGTTGTCCACCTGATGCTTTTTCTATTGCTGGTTCGAATTTCAAACTTTGTTTGTCGCATCGCATGTCTTACAGGGGTATTCTGGTGCACGCCTTCATCACAACTCTGGCACTCATCACTCGTAAAAATCTGTCCTTGGGATTCCGCTCTTAGTTTATTTGTTTCATTTAGCTAAGCATTTTCACTTTATCTCTTGTAATTTGTATCCATTGGCAATCTTGTGATTCTTGAATTGCAGGACTGTAACTCTAATTGAGATCATGTGCAAGGAATCTGCATTTTTGCTTGTGTGTGTGTGTTGGGTGGGGGGAAGGGAGGAACAGTTTTCACTTTCTCAAATCTTTTTTTTTTTGTCAATAAAAAAGACTTCATTACTTATATTCAGAAAACTGTTTATATCATGGTTTTTCATGGCTTTAACCTGCTAGTAAGGAGAAAAAAGAAGAAACATGAATCTATCCCACATGCGATGAAGTTGTAGCTTTTGAAGAGGATTATATAAAGAATAAAATTGTCCTATCAATTCTATTTGATTTCATTTACATTTCACATAAACAGGGACAAGAATTTTTGATTGACAAAATAGGAAAAAAAAAAAGAACAAGAGGAAATACAGTGGTGGGGGTGGAATTATTAGGGATTCCTTGGGAGGTTTTTGTTTTGCTTTCTACAATTTCTATGACTATACTTCCTCCATTCAATCTGAGTTTTTGGCTCTTCTAGATGGGTTAGACTTTTGTCTTCAATTTGGAATCACTGAATTAGAAATAGAGAGTGACAATAAGGTGTTAGTCGGCATCATTAATGGGACATCTCACCCATGGTCAATAGCCTACATTTATATAAAAATCAAACGAATACTTGGTAACATGAGGTATTCTATTGGTCACTCGTTGAGAGAAGGAAATTATCTTGCAAATGTGGGTGTGAATTTGAAAAGCAATGCAACTTTTAATTCCGTACTTCATACCCCACCAAAGCTTAAAAGACTGTTGCATGAGAATTATGTTAATCTTCTCATTCTGAGAATTGGTTAAATCTGATTGTATTTTTTAATTTCTTTGTTAGGGTGGATTTTGAGAGGGTGGTGATGAGTGCGTTTTGTATTGGGCATGGGGTAAGGTGGGCTATGTCCTCCCTTGTATATTCTGATTTTCTATAAAATTTGAGATGGACGCCCCTCCACCTGGAGTAAAGTTTGGGGATAAAAAAAAACGTGAGGGGAGCTATAAAATCCGAGTTTGGATCTATTTACCACAGAATGTTGGTTACTTCCTCTTCACAAGACATTTGGGACATCTCGCCATAAATGGGATTCTGATCTTTTGATGACAAAATGTTGGTTGCATCCTTTATACAAAGACACTACAACCAAGGTTCAAAGTATCGTTATGCATCGGCCCGTATTGGCTGATACATATCGTTCTGGGACCCTTCCGATATGCCCCTACAGTGGGTGTATCGGGGGCCTGACCGGTTCAGGGGATGGAGGGGTCCTAGATCAGCTCCCCTGAACCAGTTTTGAAAAGAAAATAAAAATAAAAAATAAAAAAACAAGTATCGAAACGCCCAATATTCCCCTACTGGCATATCGATATTTTGAACCTTGACTACAGCCATACATGAGAAACGTAACATGTCCCCATTTCAAAGTATTGATTCTCTGCATACGAAAAAAATTACCTATCAAGAATTTCAATAAACCAAAACTCATTCCTTTTATGTCTTATTTGACAAATTGTTGACAAATTGTTAAGACCACTAAATTGCCAATCAAAACCTCTTTTACCAATCAAAACCACTAAATTGCCAAATTCTAGTGAGGCAATGTATCAGTGGCCATGAAAATTAATACATATCATATGATATTCACCAATACATGGCGATATTTTGAATCTTATTCTTCATAAAATATAATATAAAAAACAAGAGATATTCTCAACATGCAACTACAGGGTGTTATAGAACATGGCCCATTTCATGGTCTGTAGATCGAGACTTTTATGAATAATAACAAAAAGTGCAAAAGATTTTTCCAATGTGTGGCAGTAGGGCATTGTGGCCAGTGTATTCCTCCTTGTGGTCAGCAGTTTTGGACTCGTAAAATCTCAAAGAACATTCTCAATGACTGAAGTTTTTTGGAAGAATGACTGTTCAGCCCAAGGTCAAAATTTTTAGATCAAAGTACAGTTGAAGTGGGTACAAACTCAGAATTGATGCCAATTCATGGACAGACATTGGTGTATAAAATAAAGGGTTTTTGACCTTTTAAATATTTATGTGAAAATAAAAAAATGTGCATTGGACCTATTCGTACTTCTCCAAAGTTTTTTCCAGATTTTGTGTCAATTGTCTGATGAGGTCTAATGAATAATGAACACGATAGCGCTCTCATGGATTTTTTTTTTTTTTTGATAATAAAATTAAGGGATAGCGCTCTCATGGATTCAGTCAGCGTGAGCGCTCCCGTACCATTACATCATATTTCAAATTATTTGTATTAGTAAAGGGGGAGAAAAAAACACGGAAAATATAAGAAAACGAGTTCATGCCACGTGGCAGAGAGTTATCACTCGTTGCTTTATCGTGGATGATAACCTTCCTTAGGTTAGGATGGAGACACGTGTCAATGCATGGGAGCTGGATTCTTTTGGCATATTCTCCCCCTGAAGCCATTTACTATCTATCTCTATATAGAAAGGTGATGGTGTGAGTGTTGGTATTCGCACTTTGGTTCTTACTCTTTAGTCTTTTCCCTTATCTCTGTCGTCCTAAAAACTTGAAGCTGAAACAATGTCGGCCTTCGTAGGAAAGTATGCAGGTATAACCCGAAGCTCCTCCTCCTCATCTTCTCTCTCTCTCTCTCTTTTGTTATTGTATTTTAATTTTCTTTTAGCTTGTAGTAAGTTGATTGGTTGTTAATGGAGCTGGTAAATGAATATCATGTAGAAAATTAATAATATCATGGACTGACTATTCATTCATGAGATACCAGTGGCCAATATGTACTAATTGAATTGTTATTAATTCGTCACTGAACTGATGGAAATCAGAGGAGCTGATAAAGAATGCCAAGTACATTGCCACCCCTGGGAAGGGCATTCTGGCTGCAGACGAGAGCACCGGCACAATCGGCAAGCGTCTGGCCAGCATCAACGTGGAGAACATCGAGACCAACCGCCGAGAACTTCGGGAGCTCCTCTTCACCTCGCCCAATGCCCTTGCATACCTCTCCGGCGTCATACTGTTCGAGGAGACCCTCTACCAGAAGACTTCCGATGGGAAGCCATTCGTGGAGGTCCTTGAGGAGAATAATGTCATCCCAGGGATCAAGGTCGACAAGGGTACCGTCGATATCGCCGGCACAAAGGGAGAGACCACAACCCAAGGCTTCGACTCTCTTGGGGCACGTTGCCAGCAATATTACAAGGCCGGAGCGCGCTTTGCCAAGTGGCGCGCTGTACTTAAGATAGGCCCCAATGAGCCGTCGGAGCTTGCAATCCAACAGAATGCACAGGGATTGGCTCGCTACGCAATCATTTGTCAGGAGAATGGACTGGTGCCCATAGTCGAGCCGGAGGTCTTGACCGACGGCAATCATGACATTAACAAATGTGCTGCCGTCACCGAAACTGTACTAGCCGCCGTGTACAAGGCATTGAATGATCACCATGTGCTTTTGGAAGGGACACTTCTGAAGCCCAACATGGTCACTCCTGGCTCTGATAGCCCAAAGGTGCCGTCGGTGCCGTGTTTCATTCTACTTCACTTAATCTCTAGTACTTATTAATTAAATTCCGATCGAGCTCAAAATTAAGCTAATTCCGCAACCCACAGGTTGCTGCGGAGGTGATTGCAGAGTACACAGTTACTGCATTGCGGCGCACAGTCCCACCGGCGGTGCCAGGAATTGTGTTTCTGTCAGGAGGGCAGAGCGAGGAGGAGGCGACATTGAATCTGAATGCCATGAACAAGTTGGATGTGGTGAAGCCATGGACACTGTCATTCTCATTCGGGCGAGCTCTGCAACAAAGCACCCTTAAGACATGGGGCGGGAAGAAGGAGAATGTGAAGGCTGCCCAAGAGGCATTCTTGGCCAGGTGCAAGGCGAACTCGGTTGCCACCCTCGGCAAATACACCGGTGGGAGCGGTGGTGCGTTGGCTTCAGAGAGCCTGTATGTTAAGGGGTACAAGTACTAATTAATTCATGCATGCAGATGCCGGGCACAGTACTGAAATTAATACTTGATGTCAATTTTTATCTTCTTCTTCTTCTTTTTTCCTTCCTTGTAATTGTAACCAAATATTTCCACTGATATGTCTAATAATATGTTGTTTCTGTTAAGTATTTATGCCTCTAATTCACACAAAGGATAGGCACAGAACATGTATACAAATTACAAAGTCCAATCAAGAATCAAAATTAAGGAGCAGTGCCCTCCATGTAAGGGGCAACGCTTATATTTAGTATATTATATTCCAAGAAATTTTGGGTGAAAATAAATGGCCGAATTCCTCAAGTTAATGGGGTCTAGTGCAAAACTGCAATGGATGGATTCCCCAAGCCCAAGTATCTGATCCTAAATTGAAAAGCTAAGTAAAATGTAAATTGTGTTCAGGATTTAAGCATTATTGTAGACCAACCATCAAAGTAGAGGACTGTGAGAGTGAGAGAGATATCCCTCCCTCTACAAACTATGAGTCCTAGATAATAAAACTTCCATTCCAAGTTCCAACACAGTGTGGGATATTCAACATCAACGGCCAGTATATGTAATTTGGATATCTTGCTAATACTTGAGGTCAGGCCTCGGATGGTAGCAGCCACATATTTTCTTTTTTCTTGTATTGTATGGCTTGCAGCTTGCTGCTGCAAAGACTACAGCTTATATATACTAGCAGGGTCACAAATACTATATCTATATTCTGGGGCTGGATTTATTAATTTCAAAAAAATAAAAAATTCTGGTTCTAGATTGATTTTCAGTGTTAATTTCCCTCTCTTGAAAACACTCAGACGTATCACTTGATTGGACCGCCGTCCCTCTATTCGCCAAAATAGTTAATAGTGGCCCACTCTCTTTTAAGGGTGAACTTTTGGTTCAAAATCCAAATTCGAACTCAAGAAAACGAAAATTTTAAAAACCGAACTCAAACCCAAATACGTGAAAATCCATTAAATTGAATCGAATTTGTTTTGGTTATTTTGGATATTTCGGTTAAAATCGAAATTATTTAACCTGACTATCTGATGTTCATTTCATTAATATTTGATATTTCGATTAAAACTATAGTTTTTAAAAACGAACCGTAAACAGAATCAGTCAGGGGACCGGTTTCCGATTAAATGGTTCAACCATTTGGGTCAAACTGTTCGACCTGTGACATCATAAATAAATTAAAAATAAAATTTTTTTATAAATAATAAAAAAATAGCATAAAATTAAATAAAAAACAGAAAATAAAATTATCTAAATAAAAAATAATACAGTACAAAACACAGAAAATATAAAAATAAAATACAGAAAAATTCTAAAAGTACAGAAAAGCACAAAAAAATTCAAAAAATACAGAAAAAACAGAAAAATGCAAATTAAATACAGAAAAAACAGAAAAATACAAAAAAATACAGAAAAAATTGTACTGTATTATCATTCTTTGACATCATCTGATCATCATCATCATCATTCACATAGCAAACAACCAAGGAATTGAAAAAAATTAATAAAACAAAATTAATTAAGCCAATGTGAGTATGTGAATCTTTGTAATTAATTAAGCAAAGAATTCAGAAAAAATAATTAAGCAAGATTAATTAAACAATGAGTTAAGAAAAAAATTCAAAGAATCAATTAAACTCACAAAAAAAAATTCAGAAAAAAAATTATTCCTTCAGGTCCTTCACGGTTTCGTTGTCGGTAATGGTGGTGTGATAGTGGGCTCGGGCTTGGTTGCAGACAAGTTTCCATCGCAAGTGCTACTACAATTTGCAGAATCGTCAATGATGGTGTTACTGCCACTGCAAAGTACAAACTCCTCGCCCGCCACTACAAACTCATCGGACAGCCGCTGCAAACTCGCTGCTCGCTGTTGCAAGTCGACTGCCACAACTGCTACTACTGGAGTCTGGAAGTGCTGCAAAATACGTTGGCCGTCGCTGCAAACTTGTTGTTGTCGATCGTCATTAATTTCCATCGGTCAGTGTTTGTCGTCGTYGGACGCCGGAGGTGCTAGCTGCTGTAGGTGGTCAGTTGGGTGTGAGGGATGAAAGGGAAGGGTTAGAACTTAGAACGAAAATGGGGGTTTTAACCTTAAAGGGCCTAAACATTAGATTTGGGATGGGGATGTCATTTTAGTTTTTGTTTTTTTTTTTATTTTATTTAAAATAATGAAAATAAAATATAACCCACGAACCGCTGCCCGGGTCGAAGGGTTTAGCGGTCCGACCGCCCGAGTTAGTGGTTTTCTGACTTTTTCAACGTTTTTAAGGCATTTCCGATTTATAGCATAACCAGACCTGGGGGCTGACTGGTTACTGATTTTTCCGGTCCGGTCCGATTTTGAAAACCATGATTAAAACATACTTGAGTTTCTTTCTAACCAAACAACTCACAAAACTACCAAAAGCATTGCTAACTGAAAGAATCTCCACTTCCTGCCCATAGGGCCATACCGCCATACCAACAAACTTCCAAGTTCCATCTGTATTACTGCATAGGAGGGGCCATATAGAGGATATATACAAATAACACAATACAGCAACCGATAAAAAACATGTATACTAGTTACTTAGTAAGTCAATATATTTATGTATGTGATGTAGGGTGATTTGGCCCGACCTGATAATAGAGGGACATGTGGACATGACCTAACTGACAGAACGACAGCTCATCCTGACGTACCCAAGTCTGGGACGGACCCAACTCGGATAACCGAACTACTTCGGGGGATCACGCCTCGTAATAGCTGGCCTTATCTTCTCCGACCGATTCGGACGACAGTGATAATGTCTTATCGGTTGGCACCGTTATCTCCTATTAATTCGGTAACGGGCCTCATCACGGCAAGAATCCTGGAACCACTCCGAGAAACCCGCGAAGACTCTAGTATATAAGGACCCCAACCCTTTGGGGGCAGAGGTACGTGCACAATCMCTGCTTACTAGCTCTCTTGCTTTCTAAATTGTATTCAGCTCGCACACTACTAACTTAAGTATCGAAGCGACCTTGCCGGGTAAGCACCCCTGGGTTCTCTAATTCTTCCTGTGCAGATCCGCCAAGTCCGTCGTCTACTGGAAGCCACCTCATCTCCAGCTAGGAGCAGCCAGATTGCGACGCATCAATTGGCGTCGTCTGTGGGAAACAGTTCGAAAAGCCTTCTTCCACCAAACAGTCCAGATCCAGTTTCAATGGCATCTTCTAGTAACGTCAGACATAGTGCTGATATGAACGTCTCCGGGGGGCAACTCCAGGTCCCAACCGTTTGCATTGGACAGTTCACTTTACCTCTCTCTGCGGACAGGGTCCCTACGCTGAATGTGCCTCAAGTCACTGTACCGGTGAATGCCCCACTCCCTCTTATGGTGGGTGCAACTTTCGCCGAGCCCTTTCTTATGCCCCCGGTGGTCGGACAAACTCAACTTGACGAACTGGTACACTGCATGCGGGCTATGCAAGCCCAAATGCAACAGGTCCAATAGTATCAACAAGTCCTGCACCACGTTTATTAGCAACAGTACCAGCAACAGTTCCCCCCGCTACCACAGAATCAGCAGAATTAGCAACCGGTTCCACCTCGACATCTGGGACCACAACAAACCAACCCTCACCGTCAGAGCGAGCACCCTCCTCGCTGGGGAGAGACCTCCCAAGTCCAGAACCTTCTAGGGAGCCAGATCTCGTCCCATGGCAGGAAAGAAAGACAGGTTACTCCTCCAGCCTCCCAACAGGTGAATAGGTCGAAAGACACCCAGCGCATCAGAGCCGCTTCACCTCGACCTTCACAGTTCGGAGTCCCACTCGCGGAAAACCAGTTCAGGGTTCTGGCAGCAGACTCTAAACAGGGCCCCTCAGTCCGCAGCGACCGTCGCTAGCAGTCCGAGTAGCTCCCTGCAAAAACAGCGCCTGACCACACTGAAGCTAGCAACACTAATGCGGAGCCAGCGAAGAAGCAGCAGAAACGGCGTCGCAAGGTTCGCTGGGCTGTCRTCCAAAGTAAGCCCGACCAGCCCAAAGGAAGGGAAGAGGCGAGCTCAGGAACAGTGAAGATTACCCCACTCCTCTATGTGCCATCTCCTCTATCCACCGAGCTCCTAGCAGTTCCAATGCCCAAGGACTTTAAAGTACCTCCCTTGGACAAGTATGATGGGTCGTTCGATCCGAATGACCATGTGGACTCGTTTCAGTCATAGATGCACCTAGCCAGGGCGGATGAACCCTGTATGTGCATGGCTTTCTCCACCACCTTTAAAGGAGTAGCTCGTATGTGGTACATGAACCTTGCGCCTAGGACAATTAAGAGTTAGGCGCAGTTCGTGCAGATTTTTACCTCACACTTCATTACAAGCAAGAGGTGCCCGAGGTCCCAGGAAAGCCTACTCGGAACAGTCCAGAGGGAGGGAGAATCTATCCAAAGCTACATCAAGAGATTCAACGATGCATGCCTGCAGATTCCTGATCTAGATCCCATTGTGAGACTCACAGCAGCCAAAAGAGGTATCACCCACAAAGAGTTCAAGTGGCACGTGGTTGCCAACAAACCCAAAGAAGTTACTGAGTTCCTCAAGCTCGCTGACCAGTTCATTGAAATAGAGGAGGAGATGAAATAGAAGAGTGAGAATCCATCAGAGAAGAGGAAAAGAGAAGGTGAGACCTCAACTAACGGGGATAAGAAGTGGAAAAAWGATGAACCTACTCAAGGAGGAGGAAAACCGGATCAGCCTTTTTGAGCCTCTCTAGTTGAAAGAACAAATTACACTCCCTTGAACACGACACGAGCAGAAATCCTCATGGCGATCAAGGACGCTTCTTACGTTAAGTGGCCACCTCGGATGAGAGGAGACCCAAACACAAGAAACAGAAATGTATACTACCACTTTCACTGAGATTACGGTTATAGCACCGAAAATTGTAAGAACCTCCGCAACGAGATAGAAGAACTCATCCGTCGTGGATATCTGAAAAACTTTGTACTAAATGATAATAAAAGTCAAACAAGTCGGTAGGGGGAGCAAGGTAGAGATATTCCCGAATCCAGCAACAGGCAAAACGAGTAGCCGTAGAGACAGCTGCCCGAAGAGAGGCCGGTTCGAGGGGTAATACAAATGATCACCGGCGGATCGATTGTTGC